CTCCCCCCCCGGCACCGGCCAGCTCCTGGCCAGGGCCCAGGCTGCTGACAGCCGCTTTCTCCAGGAGCTTCCCGGTGCTTGGATCTCTTACGGGAGAGGGATAGAGTGGGCAGAATGGGTCAGGGTCTGCTGGTCCTGCTCCAGAGTGAGTGGCTCTGTTGTTCCCCCTATCTTGCTGCATCTCCCCATCTCGCTGCATCCCCGCATCCCCACTTGGCAAAGCAGGAAAACCCTTTCCCTGCTTTTTTTGGTGCCCACAGCAGCTCCAGCCCAAACCCTCGCCACCCAGGGCCATTTGATGGGTTGTAGCCCTGGACAGTTTGCAGGGAAATTGCTTCATCCCCTGCTCGGTGCTGGCTCTCCATCCCCTGCTTGGTAAAACCCTCGTGTATTAAGCCCTGGGTTTTAACTCACTGTCCCTGCTGTGATGGTTTCCTATCCGGCTGCTGTGCTCGCATGGCCAAAATGAAAGGAGCCGTGCCCTTCGCACAGGGGCTGGGGGCTCTGCTCCCAGGGCCGGCCCTGCTCACCTTGCCCGGGCTGAAACGGGAGCTGTGTTTGGGGGCGATGCCAGCGGGGAGAGGAGCCGGCACAGCAGTTTACTGAGCCCAATGCGGTGTCGCTGGGGCATAAAATTAAGCGAGTTCGGCGCAATGTGAAACTGTGCATTGATTTTCCTTATTTATTTTCTTTTTTTTTCATTCCCTTTTTCCCCTCTTGCCTCTCCAGCCTGGAGCAGGAGGTGCTGGTTTGGGTCTGTGGGGCTGGCTGGTCCACAGTGCCAGGGGGTGCAAAGGTGATGCTCAGTGTCCCTGGGGACCCTGTGGCTGTTTGTCCGTCCAAGCAGTGATCCCAGGGGCTGGGGGTTGGAGTGGGGCTGAGCTGTGGGTGCTGCTGCCCCTGTGCAATGTGTTTGGGGTCTCAGCTTGCCTTGACTTCTGGGGGCCACTCGTGTCCCTGTCCCCTGTGGAGTCCCCAGGTGCTGGAGCGTTGGGGTAGCCCCAATCCCTCTCTAGGGGTGCGAGGCACAGGAGGTGAGTCTGAAAACATGCTGGGTTTCTTTTCTCCCCCTTCAGCCAGCTCCTTGCCAGATGATTCAAGAGCAAAACCATCCGGGCTGCTCCGTGTGAGCGTCTTGGCACCGTCCGCAGGCGCCTTGTGACCGTGCTCCCCGTGGGGACCACGGGGCCGGGGTGCTGGGGGTGGCACAGGGGTGCAGGTGCTGGGGGTGGCACAGGTGTGCAGCACGAGGGTGAGGGGTGATGCTGGATGCAGGATTTGGCTCCTGCTCACCAAAGCACAAAGGTGTTGGGGCCATCAGCTCCTGTGCGGTGTGGGATCTCATCTGGAGCTGCTGCCATGGGTACCACTGGGTCCCTGCTTTGGGTGCCACCAGGGTGCAGGGTGCAGCCTTCATCCCATCCCTGCTTGCAGCCTATGTTGGGGCGCTGGGATCACCCCGTCCTGCCGTACCCCTGGGTCTGGGGGCTTGGGGTCTCTCAGAGCAGCACCTTCCCTCTCCCAGCGCTGATAACCGGGTGCCGGGCTCTGAACCTGAGGTTTGCGGAGCCGCGGTCGGGAGCCCTGCGTGGTGCTGCCGTGGCCGGGTGCCCGCTGGCTCCAGCTCCAGCTCCAGCCTGACCGGGCGAGGGGGGGCAGCGCTCCGTGCTTTTCTGCTTCTCTTCTCCACGGTGCAGGACGGACCCTGCCATGGTTACAGGCGCAAACAGGGCCGCTACACCCCTGGTTATTTATATCCCCCTGCTCCACCTCTGCTGAAGGGATTTACAAGACATGGTGTTTGTACTGCTCAGGGAGCAGAAACTCATGAGCTGGGGAGCAAAGCCCCGTCCCCATCGGTGTCCCCATCCCCGCTGGAGCTGGGCTGGGGCAGTTTTGGCCCAAATAGCCATTTCTTGCAGTGGCACCTGGCAGCACGGTGCTGGGGCCAGGCTTGGCCGTGCCGCTGGGCAGAGCCCGTTTGCTCGCTCGTCGCCGGGCTGAGCTGTTGATCCTGCGGCGCGTGGTGTTTTCCTTCCGCTGAGTTATTGCCGGGCCATCAGTGTGAGCCTCCCTGACGCTGCCTGTGCCCCTGGTTTGGGACTTCCTTGGAGCAAAGCGGGGTCTGGGGGTACCCCAGCATCACCCCCTCTTCCCAGCCTGGACACTGGTTGCTTGCTGGGACTGGGGAATGCAGCCTGTCCCGCTGCACAGGCTCTGAGCATCGCTGGGTGCTGTGGCACAGCTCTGCCCGGGTCATACTGGGGTGCAGCGCCTTTGCCCGGGGGTGTTGGGGCAGGCACTGGGTGCCCCCCAATGTTGCTCTGCACCAACGGGGGCCAAACTGGCCCTGCTTCCCCTGAGCTCAGCAGCTTTCCCCGCTCACCTGTTCCTCCAGCACCGCACATATGGCAGAGCTCTAATGAAGATTAATATGAGGAGATTTGCCTTCTCCAACCCGCCCCCCTGCCGGGTTTTAATTATGATTTTGGGGAGGAGCGTTGCTGTGAACAGGCTTTGCTCCTGCAGAGGTGAGAGCAGCCGGAGGGGTCTGTCCCCATGCCCAGGCCACCGGCAGCACATCCCTCCCCAGGGATGTGCGATGGGAGCCCCTCGATGGGAGCCCCTCGGTGAGGGGGTGCTGGGGGCTGGTGATGGAGAGGTGACTGGGGAGCAACAGCAGCATCTGCCCCCCAGGACCCCCGCAAAGGGGAGCAGGTCCTGCCCCGCCACCTCTACCTCATTCCCTGGCAGCTCTCCTTTATTTTTCGGCCCTGCTCGGCAGGTGGGAAGAGCAGCGAATTCGGGAGGAGGGGGGAGCCTGGCAGTGCTGGCGTTTGACGGAGAGCTCGGTGCTGGGCAGAGCTGCTGAGAGCAGCACTTCTGCCCCCGAGGGGGG